TGCTGAATTAAACTCAAATATTGTATAACAAACATGAAAATCCACATATTTGGAACACAAGAAAACAAAAGCTAAAGGAAGAACCAAAGATAGTAGCTCAAGACTACATAAGGAACTCTTACCCAAAAGTTAATTTAAAGATTCCATGAAGTTGATTCTCACAGGTCAAAACATGAAGCATAAATTTCATTTCGAAAGTTGAAGCAGCAACTCATAGTGAGACAATCCAAAGTGGGTTCCTACAGTTTGGGGTTTCTTGGCGTTCGTCTGACAAAAACAGGACCACTTTCCTAAAAGTCAAAATGGCAAAAGATCCCGTAAAGAACCTGCAGGATTCATCTTATAGGTTTTGTTCATTTATATCATAGACACTGAGTTTTACAACTACATATTCCTAAAAGAAATAGGATTTCACAGCATTGTTACGGTGGGTACTTTGCCTGTTTTTCATTTTTATGGCCAGAAACTGTTGCTATTAGCACAACACCACAAAAAGTCGTGCACCACATACTTTCTTATGTGTTTTTTGTCTATTTCATGAGCAGTCTGTTAGGATCTCCTGCATCTTTTGTCTTTCCACCCTCGCATTTCCTTCTAAAAGGCAAATAATTTGATTTTCTCCCATGTAAAGGAATGCTCTGCAGGTGGACTGTTTACAATTTATTTGCCCCAAGATTCTTTGATATGCATTCTGTTGCAGACAGCGGAATGTTGCAGTGACGTGTGATATGTCATTTGGTGCTAGTTTTCCTACTTAATTCTTCTCTGAATGCAGGATTCCTTGATCCAACCGGTGACAAAAATCTTGCTTGGAGTAGCTGTTATAACCGTCTTGATAACCTTGGTTTTGAGAGATCCTCCACAGTGGGTCCAAAAATTGAACATTTCTGGCTTGAATTTTCCTCCTTGGATCATTGCTCTGGTGGTAATAGTTTTTACTCGGATGAGGAAGAGAACCGGAGATTTGCTGAAAAAGTATGGTTGGTGAAAGGCGCCATTGATGCTTTCCTTTGTAAGGCCTTTTTGTTTCTCAAATTTTGTTAAAGAATTTGATTCAGTATCAACTGAATTTTGATGATGAAGCAAGTGATGCTCATCTGGACGTCGTCATAACTGAAATTGGCGACAAGTTGCACTGAAAGATAAATTGATTAGCAACAAATTTAAATTGGGTCTGAAATACCAAACCTCGGAAACAACATTCCTAAGATCATCTTGTTGCAACATTAAGATTCAAAACAACAGATTGATAAATGGGTGATTATCAACGGATGCATTATAATGCATCCGGACGGTAAATTAACTGGTTTATAAATAGTTACATTATTTTTCAATTTTTTTTTCTATGTATATAGTGGTATTGTGGAATATTTTTCTACTACTTGATGCCTTGATGAAGTGAAGCAGACAAAGTAGGAATCCCGACAAAGCAATTGATCGGCTGCAGATACGATCAATTCTCAATGCAAAGATTATGATTGAAAATTCTTGTTGGCTTATTCCATCCTGCACACAACAAAATAGAGCAGTTGAAATAGTAACGTAAGTTGTGTCAATAAGAATCAAACCATTATAACAAAGGTTGGTCTAATGAGCTTGTAGCTCTTGAGGTGCTACTACTTTTGATCAGCTCCAAATCCTGTATCAAGACCCCAAAATTGAGTTGACTACTTTTGATCAGCTAGGTCTAATAAAAAAAACAATTCAGTCTATCTGAACATACTTATTGATTTGCAGTATGTTAACAAATACTTTCTTCAAATGCATAAAATATACTACATGAGTTGATTAATGCTCTGCAGTAGTTTAAACAGTAAGTGATGAATCTAATGGTAAATGTATGGCTAGAAAAGATAGTGATGGGAACTTACTAATATCAATTGTGAGAAGACGTCATTAGCCTTGCAAGTATTTATGTGCAGACATTTGAGGAGGCGGCGTTTTTAACAAAGGTTGCAAAAATTTAGCTGCTCTTTTAAGAATGACAGTTTTTATTAAACTTTTCAACAATAGCGAAAAATAAGAGGGTGCAAGGCCTAAGTAGGAAATCAAAGTGGTTACCCTCCAAATCAGAAATCCTATGCACCCCCATTGTTCGCTAGTGTTGAAAGAGTTGATAAAAACTGCAGTTGTTAAAAAGAGGGAGAAAATCTTTACAAGTTTTGTTAAAAACCATTTGGAAAGAGCACAGCTTTTGCGGCAGAGAGATTTTTGGTGAGAGCTTGCACTTGCATCAGCTGAATTGTGAGGAGAAGTAGCTTTTGTGCTGATGTTGATGGAGTGGTTCATCATCATGATTTGGTTGAGTTCTTCCACGTCTTGCTTGTGCACCAAACGGAACCCACACTTCTTTATACCCGAGCAATATATTCTGCCGGCGGACGGAGGGAAAAGGTCATAAAAAGTATGGAATGAAATCTTCATCTGATTGCATTCTTTGTCGACTACATAACGATATACACAAGATACCCAAAGATGAGGTGACACAAGATGGCCTGTATCAATGGCTTGTCTATGCACAGGGTGACCTTCTAGGCGACATTCAATTTGAAAAGATCTAGAAAGGTAAGGAGGTGGATTTGGGTGATCCACAGGGGCTTCTTCAAAGACAGCACAAAAAGCAATCCAAATGGACGTGGTACATGGAGGTAGCTCCACAATTAAGGAATCTCCTACACTTTGATTATTGAACCACTCTGGAATTCTACTTCCAGGTGTTAAAATTCGGAAATTGGAAGGAGGCCAAATCAGTGTAGGTACCTGTATCATGTATGGGTTAGTAACTTGATTATTTATTATTATACTATCATCGCAAACAAAGAGAGACAGAGAGAGAACCTGAACGAATCTCCAATAATCATCGCAGCCATCATTCTCAACCAATCCAGTGCAATTCACACACCTCAAAGTAACATAACTTCTTCCGTTTTTTATGCTCAACTTTGGCAACATTTTTAAGGAAGTGCAATCGTTTATGTTCATGTTAATAAAGCAGAAGTCTTCATCATCAACCAATCCAAAGCGGAGATGGGGCAATTGTTGAAGCCTTCGGCACTCATACACCCGAAAATACCTAAGCTTAGTAAGACATCCAATGCTTGCAGGAAGGCTAACAAAATTGTTTCGACTAAGGTCTAATTCTTGTAAAGAGGACAAGCAGCCAATATCACCCGAAATATCACAAAGTCCACAATCACTCAGATTCAATTTTGTCAAAGACCATAAACCATGTAGCGAACCCAACACAAAAGCCTTTCTTTGGAGGCCCCACCGAAACCTTGGTTTCTTTGAATGGCCCCGCAGGTTTTCTGGGTGTTTGTCGCTGTATCGGCATCCTATCACATTGAGTATTTCAAGAGACTTCAAATTACAAATTTCGCTCGGAAGATCCAAGAGATTTTCACAATTGTATACATGCAGAATAGTAAGGCCAACAAGACGTCCAATTGATGAAGGTAATTTCTCAATGGGCGTCCATCCTAAATTAAGTTGTGACAAATTTTCCATTTGTCCTGAAAATTCTGGAATCTTTTTCAGTTTTGAGCAACCTGAAAGACTTAAATATATAAGAGAATCCATTTCTACCTCCCTTGGAAGACTCTTAACACTTTTGCATCCGTCTAGTATTAAATATGTAAGCCATTTGAGAAATGCAATGGACGAGTGAATCTGAACTAAATTCTCACACTCTTCAAGATTCAACACCTGGAGTTTTGGGATGCCAGTGAAATTTGGGGTTGTTGCCAAGTTTCGAGAGCAACTAAGGTCCATGTATTTCAAATTGGGCAAGTCCTGTACAATAATACATGAAAAATAGTAGAATATATAATTAGCAACCAAAAAACTTAAACTTTTACTCTCTTTTTTCAAAAAAATCATAAGATGGCATATGGTCAGTAATCTTACAACTCCTTCATCCCAGAGCCCAACTAGTTTGCTGTCCCGCATCTCAAGTGAAACAAGTTTATTCGGTTGAAAATTTGATGGGAGATATTTGGAAGGATACCGATTCCATTTCATAATTCTTAAGGAATTAGGAAGAATTCTGGGGATTGAGGAAATGATCACATTATCAACTTCAAGAAATTTTAGGTTGATCATCTTAGAGAATGCTTCACAATTCCAATCTGCCTTTTCAAGTTTTTCCATGCTTAAGGCGATGCCTTGAATTTTGCTAGTTGCCTGTAATAAAGAATAGAAAAGGAAAAGTTAATTTCTCAAGTAAGTCTAATATTGAGTTAAAAAGAAATCATATTTCTTTTTTAAAAAAAAAACAAGTAAAAATTTGTATTTTCTACATAACTTCTTACCGTATTGTTTATCAATACATGAATGATGTCATTACGATGACACAATCGACTGCGTCCACCAGGCTCTTCAGGAGACTCTTGACGAACAATTTCAAATGCCATTTCTTGTATCAAATCATGCATCCCAACAATGTTACCTTTGTTTGAAATATCAATAGTAAAGAGCGACTTCTCAACCAGAGCATTTATCCCACCACAACGGTCACAACTGTCTAGTATTCCAATTACTTTATTCATGCCCATCCCCTTAAGGAAAAATGCAACATCAAGAAATATATTCTTGTTCATCTCATCTAGTCTATCAAAACTGATTTTGAGCAAATCAAAAATTTCTGTCTCAGGAATTTTCCGTAGCTTATCCAATTCATTTTTCCATTCATCTCGATCTCTCTTATACATAGAGCATCCCAAAATTTTAAGAGCTAATGGAAGGCCTCCAGCATAATTTACAAAGCACTTGGACAATTCCCAAAAACCTTCCTCAGACTCAAATTTTTTAAAGGCGTTCAGACTAAAGAGCTCAAGAGCCTCATCATCACCTAATTCCTCTACCTTATATGATATCTCCATATCATGCTTTTTAACCAACCGTTCATCTCGAGTTGTAATGATGATTATACTCCCCTTACCAAACCAATCCTTTTCCTTCGCAAATTTCTCTAGTTGGCTTGATGCATTCACATCATCAAGAATGAGAAGAACCTTTTTATTACATAAGCAACTCTTAATCAAATAGGCCCCCCACTCTTCATCCCAAACTTGAGTAATTTGTTCATTCAAAATCGGGGAAAGCAGCTGTCTTTGTAGATCAACAAGACGATTACCTTCAGAAGCCTCTCTAACATTAGCAAGAAAGCAGCTAACTTCAAAATGAATAGAAATGCTTTCATAAACAAGCCTAGCAATGGTTGTCTTGCCAATGCCTCCCATCCCCCATATCCCTACAAAGCGAACATCATCTGTAGGATCTAGAAGCAAATCCATTTGCTCACGTGTAAACTTAATTCCCACTAACTCTGTGGAATCTAACAATTTGAATGTGCGATGCACTTTCCCCCACACCCATTCAACAATCTTTTCAATGAGCTTTCTTTCACACCTACAAGGAAGAACAATGATTAAGTCAAAAGTATAAGGAAGAACAATGAACAATGAACAATGATTAAGAACAATGGTCTAAAGGTACATCAAAGTGAAAATTGGCTTACGAAAAACCCAAGTATATATGGAGAAGTTGCTTACTGAATCTTATTTGAATCCAACCCCGATAAATTGGCAACTTCTGTTAAAGCAGCTCTCCAGCGCTTCACCTTTTCTATGTCTTCCCTAAACCTTTTCTCATGCTCAGCGAACGCGCCTGCAAAACTGCCGCTTTGTTTTCGCACATCGGAGGGATCCACATTATAAAACACAGGCAGAACTGTGCCCTTGGATTCCATGCATTGGAGAATCTTTGTAAGTTCATCCAAGCACCAGGAAGAAGAAGCATAGTTTGGCGAAAGAACAACGATTGCAAGCCTTGATTCTTGGATTGCTTTGAGGAGCTCTAAAGAAATGGGTTTCCCTTTTTCAAGCTTTGGATCATCCTTGAATGTTTTAATGCCCCTGTGCTGCAATTCGTGGTATAAATGGGACACAAAGCTATTTCGAGTGTCTACACCCCTGAAACTCAAAAACACATCGTAGTTCCCTTGAGGAGGAGCCGACTGATCAGCTGAAGGATGAAAAGCAGAGGCTCTTTGGGTGTTCAACGCCATTTGCAATCTGCTGCTGTGGCTGCAAACACTACTCAATGAAACAAGAACTTCGCTAACTAAATATTCAAAAATCCTAACACTCAACTGAATAAATACGAAGATGATCATAAATGGCTTGAAAAATGAAAAAATTGAAATTGAAAATTACATCAGAACAAGTTTCGGAGCAACTAGGGAAATTTAGATAGTCAAACATGGATTTTGTCATGGTGTTAGTTTGGATCATCTAAGCAAACATGTCAATTTGGACCATGTTAACAAAAGATATCAAGTATCTAACAATAGAACATTACTTCCAATTCAGCAGAGAGAAATTCAACATATTATTTAGCACAGCTCATAAGGAACAAAAAAGACCAATTTCAACATTAAAACAAAAATATCATGTCATATCAAATAATGGATTGGCATTAAAAAGCCTCATCACTACAAACTGCAAATGCTTTATCTTAATGTTACCTGAACAAAGCAATTATATGAAAATGGAGACGAAGCAAGGCAGCAGCTTCAGCTTAATGTTACAACGTCAGAGAATTGGTAAGACAAGATCAGCAAACCAACAAGAAACTCACAAAAATTACAAGATCAGCGAGAAGCAAAGCTAACAGCCTCAAAAAAGAGATGCAGAGAGAGAGATAAGTAGTGGCGAACAGAGGAAGGAGGGCATCATTTCATTTCCGACAAGTTCTTTTGAGTGTCAGGCCTATTTTATTTTATTTTTTTATACGTGTCAGGCCAATTATTTGAATAGTTGCTTTTCTTGGTAAACTGTGGTGAGATTTTTTATTTTTTGGTCACACGATAGAGAAAAACTGTGGTAGGGAAGGAAAAGGCAACTTTTTATTATTATGATTTTTTTTTTTTGTCAATAAAAAGGCAATTACTTTATTTTAATATCAATGATAAACTTGAACAACACATTCAAAGATATCAACAAGATAACGAAAGTACCATAACACGTTAAAAACAAAACTAAAACGGACAAAAGCCGCACTAAAACTACTAATTCACATCACCACAATTAACTATAAGCCCAAACAAAGCCCACATATCAACATAATCGAAACCCTAAATCAACCCATGAGCCTAAACGAATCCTACCACCACCACCTAAAGAAGCGTCGTCACGGCCACACTCAGAATCTCATCCGTAACAAATTTAGGAAAAATATGTGAGTACACATGAGTCGTCTCCTTGGCCACGTGGCAGCTTCGTCATGTGCGACATTTAGGAAGATTAGATGGTTTGGTATTCTCACATTAGAAACTTGAAACATATTTGTTTGTGACATGGAAAAGGAAAAGTAGTCTTACGATGGTGGATACTTGATTTAATTTGATGATCCGCTAACAGTTTCAATCATTTTGTTGAGTGTTTGTACCCAAATAGAAAGTACAATAAATAATAAGACCAGTTTTAATAATGAATGCTCTGCAAGTGACTGTTTTACAATTTATTTGCCACATATGCATATGTTGCATTGACATGTGATATGTCTTTTGGTGTTAGTTTTGCTACTGAATTATTCTCTAAATGCAGGATTCCTTTATCCAACTGGTGACATAAATCTTGCTTGGATGTTATAAGCGTCCTGCTAACCTCGGTTTTGAGCATATGCAGTAATGTCAGTCTTCTTATAGCTCCAAAATGATTTCCCTAGCGTAGTGAATAGATGGAAACCCACAAGAAAAATGTAGGAACAGATGGGAAAAAAGAGAGAGGGGAAAGAAAAATAATGGAAGAGGGAGAGAGAACCGCGTAGTGAACACGGTCTCTTTCTCTTTACAACCACACGTCGTCTGCAATGGGATGGGGCCGGGCATTATATGAGATTTAGTTTGAGGAGAACATGATTTCTCTTAACCGTCACCCAGCTTTACCAAAGAATCGTCGTAAAAATAATTCATAACCAATTTCTGCATACAAAAAGACAAGCAAATGAAGAAGCATGGAAAAATACCAAAGAAAGACTTGAACACACCCACCACACAAGAGAAAGGACGACACTTTCCACCCGAAGGAAGGAACGTACAATTTCATGAACGTTCCCTTTCTGAAATGTGTTTTTTCTTTACCTCTACTTTTATCACCTTCTTTGAAAAATTGGGATCACTAAAATGAACGGAATACAGTGGTAATAAAAAAAGAGCCGGGCTGCATAGCAGTAGAGGAAACCACATCGGTAGACCAAAGAGGAAGAAACTAAAGATATTAAAAGGTAAAGCATGGGAAAGGCATGTGGCAAATTTTAAAATGAAACTAGTGGAAGAAAAAGAGGTGCGGGAACCCAAAAAAGAGAGAAAATAATGCTGTGATTGAAGGGCAGATAAATAAAAGAAAGATAGAGATGAGAAGATTGCGCAAAAGTAAAGGAGACCACCGAAAGGTAGTGGAGAGGGGACATAAAGATCAGAATTTTTTTTTTTGGTAATAGCAAGTGAGCAACCACTCCGAGTCGTAGACCTGAACGGATTTGACTCTCCCCAGGGGGTGTTTTTCACAAGGTGGGATTCGAACGCTGGACCTCACTGAGGCCAGCTAACATTCGCCCACTTGCAGGCCTAGCCAGGATATCCACTAGACCAAACCCCTTGGGTAATTTCTTTTGCTTTTCAATGAAGAGGAAGGAGTTTCGGACAAGTTCTTTTCACTGTCGGGCCAATTATTTCAATAGTTGCTTTCTTGGTAAATCGATCAATCAATAATATCGACATTTTAAAGCATCCCTTAAAATTTACAATGTTAAACCTTTTAAGGAAGGATTTTTCCCATCGGCAAATTATTATTATTTTTGTCAAACCTTTTGGTAAATTTACAATGTTATCCTTCTGTCGTAACTTTGTTGAATCCCTCAATCATATTATGCAGGATTGTAATTAGGCACAACAATTCTGGTCCATTTTACAAGATTTTGGCATGAAATCCCCACCTACGTACTAATGTAGAGGATCATGTCCCAATGGCATTAGGTTTCACCCTCTTTTCTTGAAGGATTCTTTACCATATGTTGGAAATTTTGGCATCATAGTTATCATTTTATCTTTCAAAATAACACTAAGGGCCTTAATCAAGCAATTAGTCATATTAAATTTCTTCTCAGTATAATCTACTAAATAAAGACCTTACAGTTAGTCAAGAGCATTATCCCTACACCAGAGCTCTTACGTTCAATTTCCCTTCCACCAATATCACTTTATATAAATAAAAAATAATTTAAAAAAAACACAAAATACTGTCCTCCAATTTGGTTAGGTAAATAATAATCTTATAGATGTATTTAATCTAAGGGCTTGTCCAATATAGATCCCTACATTTTCTATTTCCTAGACATATACTCATCACTCTATAAATCTATGTGTAAAACCCAATTTCAAATTTAAATGACCAGTAGGATATAAGAGGTCGTAGTATTCCTATGTTTTTACATCGTTGCCACCAAACTTCATATTTTATTTATAATTTATTTCAAGCATTTTATTAACTCTCATAATTGTAATTACCACTCCCTATTAATAGCATATCAATCATCCCATTTCTTTTGGTTGACATTCCCTCTCACATACCACCCCTTAAATTGCAAACCAAAAAAACATCTGTAAATTACATATCCAATAATGTACCTACGAAAAATATAAATATAAATATATTATTTAAATAAAATATAGGTATATTATTTACCAAAAAAATTAAAAAAAAAACTAAGTGAGTTACTTTGTAATTGAAATTTTGGTACATTTTTCATAAATTAAAAATAGGTACACAATAATTTATAGAAAATATAGGTACATTATTTACCCATAGGTAAATTATTTTACAATATACCTATAAATGTGTATGGGTACATTATTTGGAGAGGAAAAATAGGTTCATTTAAAAAAATACGTACATTGTTTTACTAGGTACATTATTAGAGGAAAAAAATAGGTACATTATTTGGAGAGAGAAAATAGGTTCATTTAAAAAAATTGTTTTTCATAAAACAAATAATAGGTACTTTATTCAGAGAAAAAAATGTACATTATTTTGAGAAAAAAATAGGTACATTATTTAGTTCATTTTATTTAGAGAAAAAATAAGTACCTTTAAAAAAAAATCATAAAACAAACAATAAATAGATTATCAAAATATTTTTCAACATAATTAGAATGTACACTATTATTCATAAAACTATAATAAAATAGATTACTAGTAGTATAATTCATAAAAGGAAAACAACAAAAAAAAAATTATTAAATAAACCAAAACGTTTTTTTTGGGGTCATAAAACAAACAAAAACGTTACTAATACTTTCATGTTGAATTTAACATTTAATTTCAAATAAGTTTCTAAATTAATTCCTA